AGGGCTCGGCTGTCTCTTATCCCGTCTCTCTTCCTTGTCCTACACATTCCATTGCCAAGTGTCCCTTCATCCCGGGATCTCCTCCCCGGGGTGAAAGGCTGTTGATTGGCTTCTTGTTTCCCCCCTCCCACCAGCGGTGTGATGCTTCGTGGGTCTGGAATCCAGTGGGATCTTCGCAAAACCCAGCCTTACGACGTCTACGACCAGGTGGAGTTCGACGTACCCATTGGATCAAACGGAGACTGTTACGACAGGTGTGGTTCCGGTTTGGGGGGGGGGACACCGCCCCTCCCTCTCCTATCCCAGAGTCTTCCACCATATATGCCTAGTCCTCAACTTACAGAATTCTGGGAGTTGAAGTCCGCAAGTCATAAAAGGGCCACGTTTGAAGACCTCTGTTTTAGAGAGTCGTTGAGGCCACTTAGAGGTTGATGAGTACAGATGAAACTCCAGGTGGCCTCAACGACCCTCCAAAAGGAGGCAAATGACCAGCAGTCTGCAAGGAGTATAAATCCTTCCACTCGCCACCCTCCGGTCAGGGCTGAAGAAGCTTTCTGGATGAGAAGGATTTATGCTCCTTGCAGACCGCTGGTCATTTGCATTCTTTTAGAGAGTCGTTGAAGCCACTTGGAGGTTTGTCCGTGTCCTGAGTGGTGCAAATGGGTGTGGAGCCTTCTTGGAACTGCTGAAAGGACTGTGTTCCACACCCATCTGCACCACTCAAGGGACCCAGAGGACACAGGTAAACCTCCAAGTGGCCTCAACGACCCTCCAAAAGAAGGCAAATGACCAGCAGTCTGCAAGGAGTATAAATCCTTCCCCACCATCCAGTCAGAACCTGAAGAAGCTTCTTGGATGGGGAGCGAAACGTCTTCAAAGGAAAAACAAGGAAGTCCAGTGGCCTGAAGAAAAAAAAAAAAAGCACCTTTGGGACAACCAGGACCTGGAGGACGGGGAATCTTCCGTAGACTTTCCCGAAGTTCTTCCTGTCCCTGGTGGCCCCTCTGAAGCCCTCCCCTGTCTCCCCTCCTCCCCACAGGTACCTTTGCCGCATAGAGGAGATGCGCCAGTCACTGCGCATCATCTTGCAGGCCTTGAACAAGATGCCGGAAGGGGAGATCAAAGTGGACGACGCCAAAGTCTCGCCTCCGAAGAGAGCGGAGATGAAGGTAGGGTTGAGTCTCTTCCCAAAAAAAGACCTCCTTCCTTTCGGGGCTCAGCTGTCTCTTATCTGGGCAACACTTTGTCTGAAATGGGGTAGGGTTTCCTGCCCGAGCAGGGGGTTGGGCTAGAAGACCTCCAAGGTCCCTTTCCAACTCTGTGATTCTGTTATTCTGCTATCCTTTCTTCTTCCCTTCCTTCCTTCCTATCACTGGAGATTTTTAAGAAAAAACAGGACAGCCACTTGTCTGAAACAGTATAGGGTTTCCTGCCTGAGCAGGGGGTTGGACTAGAAGACCTCCAAGATCCCTTCCAACTATTCTCTTCTCTTTTCTTCTAGTCTATTCTATTCTATATTCTATTCTATTGTTCTATTTTAAGTTCTATTCTATTATCTATTCTCTATTCTATTTTACATTCTATTCTCTATTCTATTTTCTCTTCTCTATTCTATTCTATTTCACATTCTATTCTATTCTCTATTCTATTTTATTATTCTATTTTACATTCTATTTCTATTCTCTTCTATTATCTGCCCATTCTCTTAGGAGCATCCCCTTGCCCCAAGGTCTTTCTCGCACCCCATTAAAATCCCTCTCCTGTTAGGCCCCTCTCAGTTTTAATAAACTTTGATCCAGTTGCCAGGGTTTGACCTTTTTAGATACTTTTAGCCTGGATGACTGAATCTTCACGTACACCTTGCTTTTCATTTTGGGGAGAAATCACCCTGCCGTCTGTTTCCAACTCTGACTCTTTGTCTACCCAAAATTTTCATCTTGCTCGGATGAGAAACGAAATGTTTCCGTTTTAATAAACGTCACGGCCCGGTGGCCATGATGTGACCTTTTTTTAAGACACTCCCTTGTTGGACTTAACCATCATTCAACCACGAAGGAGCAGGGCATCCGGAGGTTACCTTAAACCTTTCTTTTCTGTCGTTAGACCTCCATGGAGGCACTCATCCATCATTTCAAACTTTACACCGAGGGCTATCAAGTACCCCCCGGGGCCACTTACACCGCCATTGAGGCTCCAAAGGTAAATACTGAATTTATGTACAACACTTTTGGTAAAAGCCGCGTGAATCCTAGGCACAGACCCCCCCCAAAAAAAGTCTCCCCAATAAGGGGGACGCCCTCCAAGCGAAGATCCAGCCCAGTTTGGACTCGTTTGAAGATTTCAAATAGCACCTTTTATTTCTAAGAATTCCCCGTGCTTTTACCATGTACAGAGGTTTGATAATATAAAAACCACTCTGGCAAGCCAAAAAAACCCCCATTTTACTTCGCTTCTGGTAACATTTTCAATTGGATTCCAGCTTTCTTTCCTTGTTTGAGGATTTCAGTGAAGTTAACATCCTTCATCCCTCGGCTTTCCTTCCTTCTGCTGCAGGGTGAGTTTGGGGTCTACCTGGTCTCTGATGGGAGTAGCCGTCCCTATCGCTGCAAGATCAAAGCGCCCGGCTTTGCACACTTGGTAAGAGAGAAATGTGGAAACATCCCAGTATTTGAGGGGCTGCCACAAAGAAGGTGGGGGGTATCAACCTATTCTGCAAAGCCCCTGAAGGCAGGATGAGAAACAATGGTTGGAAGCTAAACAAGGAGAGTAGCAACCTGGAATTAAGGAGAAGCTTCCTAACAGTAAGGACAATTAGCCAGTGGAACAGCTTGCCACCAGAAGTTGTGGACGCTCCATCACTGGAGGTTTTTAAGAAGAGACTGGAGAGTCACTTGTCTGAGATGGGATAGGTTCTCCTGCTTGAGCAGGGGGCTGGACTGATCCCTTCCAGTTCTATTCTGATTGATTGATTGATTGATTGTCTACGCCTCCCTGAGGTCAAGGTAGAGTGTCTGGCCTCCTCCAAAATCTTCTTTCCTTTTTCCAGGCCGCTTTGGATAAAATGTCCAAGGGTCACATGCTTGCTGATGTGGTGGCCATCATCGGTAAGTCTCGGTGTCTCTCCTCCTGTTTTTGGGGCAAAAGAAATTTAATTCAGTTGATTTGATTTGATGCTGGCCAACTCAGATAGGGCCGGGCAGCTCACAATAGCTGAAAAAGGATATACAGTCCAGTTTCAAAGCAAGCAGCCTCCAGATCAGCCTGGCGCTAACCATAATTTGCTTCGCCAAGGTGGAGTGAGCTGTGGTGAGCTGCTTTCTTAAACCAGGGTTACAAAACCCTGGTGGAGTGTTTCTTGGGCACTTTAAGAGGGGTGGGCTTCAACTCCCAGAATCCCCCAGCCAGCATGCTTTAAGAGGGGTGGACTTCAACTCCCAGAATCCCCTAGCCAGCATGCTTTAAGAGGGGTGGACTTCAACTCCCAGAATCCCCCAGCCAGCATGTTTTAAGAGGGGTGGGCTTCAACTCCCAGAATCCCCTAGCCAGCATGAAGTCATTAAGTCACACTGCGAAATAAGGATGCAAAGAAAGTCACACGGTTCACCCTCTTAATTCCTGTTCTCCCTGTCCATCTGCCGTGCCTGCTGGGGATCGGAACCCCAAACCCTTAGCCACCTCCCAACATCGGAGACATTGTGAAACGTAATTTATTCCTTGTCTTTCCTCCTGCAGGCACCCAGGATATCGTCTTTGGCGAAGTGGACAGATAAATCAGTGTCCAGCCCAGGGGGTAGACGGGATAGGAACCCACCTCTCGCTCTGGACGCCATCTCCCCCCCATACACACACACACACCAGGAATCTTCACTCAGCATCCTACTACTGTTTATTGTGTGCTTGTTTTTGCTGTAATCTGGCTTTGGGACAGGAGGCCAAGGTGAACTAACAGAAGAATAAAACGACCTCACAAATAATAAATGGCCACTGGAGAGCCTGTTCACACGCATTCATTGTCCAATTTCTGCTCCCCCCCCCATATTTTCATACTGGACTCATCCAGAGTCCCCTCGTCTCCATCCCCATGGGTACGTTTCCAAATTTTTCCCAAGAAACCTGGTTTGTGATTTTTCAGTCTCGGGCACGGCTGAATTTTCTTCCCTTAGATCAGGGGTGTCTAATTTTAAGACTTGTGGACTGCAACTCCCAAAATTCCCCAGCCAGCCGTGCTGGCTGGGGAATTCTGGGAGTTGAAGTCCACAAGTCTTAAAAATGGCCGAAGTTGGATACCCCTGCTTTAAATCCTGCCTATTTTTAGCCTCTCAACTCTTCAGATTTCCCCTAATTTTCTGCAGAAGGGAACGTGGATTCATGCTAGGCTCCATCATGGGTCTCCTGGTCGAGCAGGGGGTTGGTCTAGATCACCTCCAAGGTCCCTTCCAACTCTTGTTATTTTCTAATTCCTTCCTTCCTTCCTTCCTTCCTTCCTTCCTTCCTTCCTTCCTTCCTTCCTTCCTTCCTTCCTCACTGGAGGTTTTTAAGAAGAGATTGGGCAGCCATTTGTCTGAAATGGGCACAGGGTCTCCTGCCTGAGTAGGGGGTTGGACTAGTGGACCTCCGAGGTCCCTTCCAACTCTTGTTCATTCCGTTAAGGTCACTCAAGGTCAGACGGATCTGCAGCATCCGGGGATCCGATTCCCAGGCAGAAGCGATCCTCTCCCTAACCCTCTGGATCTATCCGATCAGTCGGATTCCCAGATTATGTTTCTAGTTATTCCCACTTCCTTTGTCCTCCCTTCCTCTGCACAAAAAAAAAAAAAAAAAAAAAATGCTGGTGTCTCCAGCCCGGGTGGAAAAAAAGGAAGCTGAATTATTTCTGCTGATGGGCTGTCCGTCAGCTGAAGAACCGAGAGCGCACCCAGGGCAGGAAGACTTGTGGTCTTGTGGCTGCGCCCGTCGTGTTGAGCTCAGGGTAGTGGAGCTGGAGGCCCCTGATTGAGCGGTGAAACCATTGGAGACCCAACCGGATTTTGCCGACACTCCCGCTGCACCCTTTGCCTTTTGGGGACCCACGTCTCCAAAATGAATTTTTTCGGGGTGGCTGTTCTGGTGCTTCAGGTGGTCAAAGGAGCAGGTAAAGTCCACCGCCATCTCTTCTTCTATCTGGGGTCGGGAAGAAAAACGAATTCAAGGAAGGGGTGGGTTCTTGGGAGGGCATCACAGCCCCTTCATCCATCTCAAAAGCAGTAAACGAGAGCTAAAATGGGATTACGTTGGAAACTTAGGCGTGCTAACCAGCTTTCCCTCCCCCCAAAAAAAGACATGAAAAAAAAAAATGAAGTTCAACCGGTCAACTAGAACTCACCATCTCCTGGTTTTCTAGCTGGCGCCTTAACCCCAGTGCCAAACTGGTCCTGCTAAAAGTTGGGAGAGTTAGTCCCAATTTTTCTTCGTTTGTTTAGAAGCAACGATGGCCGGTTTACGAACGTGAAAGGCCAATTAAAACATTGAAACCACCAATACTCAGAATAACAGTAATAATTTACCGCTCAGATTGGACAACCGTTTGTCTGAAATGGTATAGGGTATCCTACCTGGGCATGGGGTTAGACTAGAAGACCTCCAAGGTCCCTTCCAATTCTGTTATTCTATTCTATTCTAATTAATTTTACTCTGCTCTCTCTATATTATTCAATTCTGTTCTATTCTAATTAATTCTACTCTGCTCTCTCTATATTATTCAATTCTGTTCTATTCTAATTAATTTTACTCTGCTCTCTCTATATTATTCAATTCTGTTCTATTCTATTCTAATTAATTTTACTCTGCTCGCTATATATTATTCTATTCTGTTCTGTTCTAATTAATTTTAGTCTGCTCTCTATATATTATTCAATTATGTTCTATTTTAATTAATTTTAGTCTACTTTGCTCTCTCTATATTATTCTATTCTATTCTGTTATTCTATTCTAATTCTTTTTCTAAAAGATGGAGAAAAAGGGAGCAGGGAGCTCACGGAGGGAGGTGGGGGTCTTGCCTTCAATAAATAAATATTCTTTCTCACTTATTGGTCTTGGAAGAGATCCTTCTTCTCAACAACCCTGCGAGGGAGCTTTCCAGAGACCCTCCCCCCATCTTTTTTTGCCTCTTTATTCTGCTCCGCTTGAGCCCAGAGAGTGTTGTGTTAACGTAGGGCGTCCCTCTCATCTGTGCTTTTAATGAAGTTTGGAGGCAGCGCAGAAAGTGAAAAAAAAATGGATTTATCCAAACAGCTGCGATTTGGTTAATCAGGGATGGACGCTAGGAGGGGAAGGCAAACCTTTTTTAAATCATGATTCATCGTGGAGTGATTCTTGCGCCAACGGAGCAGTTGATTTAGGATAGAAAAGATGAAAAGCTGGGGGTTTTTTTCCCTCAAGACCAGAAGCTGCCTTTGGATTTTCAAAATGATGGCCCAGAGTAACATCTGAATTATATACAGGGCCCGTTTATATAAAGGACAGAGTGAGTTCTAGTTGACAAGTTGGACGTGTTTCCTGCCTTGAGTTATTTGCAAAATTATGAAAGGCGGGATATCAATAAATAAAAATTGAAAAAAAAAATGAAAACTGGAAAACTGAGTTTCTGGCAGCCCACCGCCTGGCTTAAACGAAAAAAAAACTAAACTGCTTCACTCATGCAGCAGATTGAAAACTGTGGGGGGGGGGAAAACAGCTACCCTCATCATTTTTTAAAGGGGAAACGGATTAAAAAGGAAAAAGAAGGGGACTTTTTAAAAAGGAAGTTGAAAGGAAAAGTCTTTCAGTGTTTAGGGGTTACTCCCAGTTGCTTAAAAACGAAGCTGAAATGTATCCTGTAATTAATTTGAAAGGTTGACCCTCCCAAATCATAATTAATCAAAAATACTAGGGCAGCAATTTTCCAAAAAGGAACCCCCCCCCAAAACCTTGCACAAAGATGGGGCAGCAGGAAAGAAAAAAAAGAATTATTTTTTGAGGAGGGGGATATAACTTAAAGAAACACATTTGGATAAAATTACAAGATAGTTCAATTGATTCACAATCAGTAACGATCAGTAATTCGGCTAATTCTTATTAAGCCATTCATTAACAATAGTTCACTTAATAATTAAAGAGCAGTTTAGTTCATTATGAAGGAACAGCTTGCCCGTTAACAGCTTAACGATTAATAATTTATCTGATTGTTATTAATTGACATGTTAAGGGATTGTAAATTGATAATTTGATTATTGGTGGATCATTTCATTGACAGATGATTAATAATTTAACTGAATACTGATTAACACATTAGTTGGATATGATCAATTACTAATTTAATTTTTAATGAAAAGCTTCAAACTAGGGTGTACTGGTTCTCCTGGAGAGCCTCAGGGAAAAACAAACAAACACATTTGTTATATATCCTAAAGTCATAGCTCTGGGCTTTGCCAAACTTTGTGTGTGTGTGTGTGTGTGTGTGTGTGTGTGTGTGTGTGTGTGTGTGTGTGAGAGAGAGAGAGAGAGAGAGAGAGAGAGAGAGAGAGAGAGAGAGACTCAAAATGTCATTTAAGTGGAATTACAAAGTCACGCAGACCTGTGTGGACTGAACACGGATTGAATCTTGATTTTTACGGAGTCTTCCAGGCTTCTGCAATGGATAAATGCTGCAAGATTGTTATTCTCACGGATTGGTCTGGGTCTCTTGGCTTAAAAAAATAAAATAAAATAAAATAAATCTATTTTTACACTTTGCAACATCAGAAATCAACCGAAGGCTCGTGGTTTTGTAGAGTGTTTTGTTGATCGCGGACAGAGGTCAAACACACAGCAACTGGGTTGTTGTCTCATTTTTTGAAGACGCAAGCAAATGTCTTCCCCCAAAATTGCGCCATTACTGGGTTCCCCAAACCAGCCCTTAACAAGAAAAGAGAACCACGTTTTTACAGAAGCTGACCTTTTTCCTGGTTTACGGATGTTTATCTCCCAGAATGGGAACGAAACAAACAGGGGTAAATAGAGGAGTACGTATATTATTATTATTTTTTAAATTGCAATTCTTCCATGGCCTCTTGTGTCCGCAGAAGCTCTACAAGAATCGCAGGTGTGCTATATTTTGGATGGAATTCTGTTCGTCTACGGGATTCTCCTGACTTTTCTCTACTGCCGGCTTAAGGTGAGCATCTGGGGAACCAAAAATTAAATGCCTCAGTCCTGAAGTCCAGACATATCCTTGGAATTTTGTAAGGATTGATCCATCTCTTTAATTCTCCCTTTTTCTTCAGTTCCAGTGCGGGAAGAACACCAAACAAACCGACAAGGAAACGAAGCCAAACCATGTCCCCTCTGCCCTCTACGAGGTACATCCCTAAATTATTTTGCAGGTGGTCCTCAACTTACGACCACAACTGAATTTCGATCATGTGACCGTGGGGACACTATGAAGGTCGTGTGAAAAGCGGTTGTTAAGTGGCTTTTTTCGGTGCCGTTGTAACTTTGAACAGTCCCTAAATGAAGTCGAAGACCGCCTGTAATCCTTTCTCAGGAAACTTGGAACGGTCCCTAAAAGACAAGTCGTAAGTAGAGGACTGCCTGTATGTGTTTGCGGCCCTCTAGTGGCTGTTCTGATCATTGCAGCTGAGAGGCGCAGATGCTGAATTCCGCATTAGATTTGGATGCAAAGCTAAAAGGGAACAATCCGGATTAGGGCAGTGGCCTCTGTGAGCCCAGTTGCAAGCAAGCATCCTTTATCCTTTGGGGGGTAAGTACCCCTCATCCTCTTAAGTCACCCCATTGTGCTTTCCCTTCTTCCAGGAACTGAAGGATCAGCAATCGCATCCATATGACACCCTTACTACTTTGGGGAAAAACTACGAAGAGCCAGCTCCAGAGAAGACACCCCCAGAAGAATAGATGTTTGTCTTCATATGACTTCTGAATATTCTTTCCTGGCCTCTGATCTTCTTTGATATCGGGAAAGAAGCTGAAAATCAAAAGGACCTTTTTTTTCGTAGCATTTCTTTCCGACTCATCCATCTTCTTCCAGTGTGTTAATTTTCGCCAAGGCTAAGATGGGTTGCATGTGAATTAAACGGAAGCCAGACAAATCCTCCTGATTTTTAAATGCTGTTTTTTGCTAGTCCTCGGCTTAACGACCACAACTGAGTTCATGGCTAAGCCAAAGGGTTGTAAAGGAAGGGAGGTGCCTGGTTTCAAGACCTTTTCGCCACGGTTATTAAACGAATTACTGCAGAGTGGGGTTGGGGTTTTCCCGTTGTGGTATCTGATTGTGCAAGCCGCTCGGAATCGCGGCGTGTAAATTGGGTGGCCACACAAACTGGTTTAATAAATACACGCCTATATAAAGAAATGTTTTGTTGATTTTAAAGAGTCACTGTCAGCTGTGTATAAATTGCTTAAATTTCACAACTCAAGAATTTATATGTCCAAATTAAACATGCCACGTTAGAATCCATTGAACTGGAAGACAAGGAGATTATTGTGACTATTGTGATTTTCTATCCAATATTCTGCTCTTCTTTTTAATTTATTTTTCTTGATGTCTTTATTTGGATTCTTCCTTTATTATTATTAAATTTTTTTGCCCAGTTTTTTTTTTAAATTCTGTCTTTACCCTCAATGGGACATCCTGTGCTTTATGGATGGATCAAAAGATACCTGGTATCTCAAAGCTCTACCAACTGACTTGGCTTTTCAAAGAATTTGACCAGAGTGATTAGATTACCAGAGGAAATGGTTAGAAACGGAAGGAGTCAACTGCACGGGGTTGATGATGGGCTTTCTGTTTTTAGATAAGGTGGTTTCTTGTTTTTTTTACACATTGGTAAGCTGTCTTTGTAGAAGGGCTACCACTCAACTGCCTTGCAAAGGGAACGGTCAGGAAAGAAAAAAAAAACATCTACCTAGCAAAAGAGAAAACCCAGAGACATTAATTCTTCATATGTCTGATACTCTTGGCAAGTAGCAAAGCTAAGACAGAAAACCTTGCGAAAAATAAAATAAATAAAAAAATAGAAGCTGTCGCTTAGAAGAATCCATTGAGTTTGATTGGACTTTAAGGACAGTTTTGGACAAGTGGAACGATGAAAAATGATTCTTGTTTCTTCACGCACACGTGAACGGACCCAAACGAGAGACCACAGCCCGCTGAATTTCTGGCCTTGTCCCAAGCTGTCATTAAACAAGGACAGTGGATTTGGGCATGAAATTCAGGGTTTCATCCCCGAGTTATTTACAAAAAGAATAAAGGCAGCATCTCTCTTTCTATATATCTCTATCTATTTATATCTATCCATCGCTCTCTATCTGCCTATTATCTATCTATCTATCTATCTATCTATCTATCTAATAATATATCTACAATCATCTATCTAATCATACCTAACTTTCTAATCATATCTATCTATCTATCTATCTATCTATCCATCCATCCATCCATCCATCCCTATCTAAATATTTTTTGGCTAATGGGATGGGTGCATATAAATTCAATCTAGCAATATACATTTGATAAATAAAGGCTTATCTAATGTCAGTTTTCTCAGAAAATGGAGATTGTTTTTTTCTTGGAGACTTACGAGAGAAACTCCATTTCTGTCACCGTGGAATTACTTTTTCAGAAAAAGGAACTTTTATTTTTTTGATACTGTCGAAAGGAAATTCGTATTGCTGTCGTTCTACATCCGCGTTTGGGTTGCCTTATCTGCCTCTCCACATTTTTCCCTGTTCAGATAAAACAAACAGGAAGAACAGAGAGGAGGTTGAGACCTGAGTCACTTTTATGCTGTCATAGCAGAGTTTAATTTTCATTTGTTACCTCTTCAAGAGGAGCAAAATTGAGGCTCGTTTTCTCGAAAGGAAGCGCTGTTGCATTGGAAGATGGGAAATGGGAAACGGTGAATTGAAAAGCAAAGAGATGTTTTAGATTAGGGCTTTTTAACCTTGGCTATTTTAAGGTGGGTGGACTTCAACTCCCAGAATTCCCCCCAGCCAGCATTGCAAGATTGAATTAAACCATTTTTTTTTTTATTTCACACTTGGGAGCTTTAAAATGTTTAGAACTCAATTCCAGCATGCTGGCTGGGGCATTCTGGGAGTTTTTAACTGGACCAGTCTAGGATTTCAGCTGGGGCATGCTGGGAGGCTACAAAGCTTAAAAGTAATCCAAGTTGAAAAATATTGTTTCAGAGATATTTAGTAAGTCTTTTTTTCTGGCGAGGGGGAACAAAATAGTCTCTTTTTTCTTTCTTTTTTTAGAAAATAGGACATATCTTAAAATAGGCTGGCTGGGAATTGTGGGAGTTGAAGTCCACCCCTCTTAAAAAGTTGCCCAGGTTGCAATAATATATATTTAAATATGCTTTAGATATATTATGTAAGATCATTTGGGAATAAAAATCGGAATATTTCGCTTTTCTGTCCTTTTTCAACACAGAGAAATTGTATTTTGGTGGGGTTTAGCTGAGGAAGAGGAAGAGGCAGCGCACGTGCTCCAAAGCCCGGGCAAGCAGGGAATCGCGTGACTCCATCAGCCACCACCCCGCGGGAGAAGGAGCATAGATATACAAATGAGTAGAACACTTCCGGTTTTTGCGTTTCAGCAAAAACAATAAAATAAAATGGAAATATGCATTTGGTTTCAGATATGCAGATGGGAAAAACAGTGGCTTCGGAGTGCATTTCATTTGTTAGAGCTTTTCGAAGAGATTCTGGGGGAGTCTCAGCTGGAGCTTTAAAAAAGAGCAAAAATGATTTTCTTAATGATTGTTAAACTCATTTTCTAACTTTTTAATCTCATTTTCCTCGTCTTAAAGAGGAATAGGGAATCTGCTTCCATCCCTAAATCTTGAATTTTTTTTTTTGTCCTTAACTCTTGATTCCCTCCCTGCCTCCTTTCTGCTCTAAGAGAGCCAAAACGGGAACCCGGAAGTCGGAGGTCCGCGTATCGCTCTTCACTTTTTTTTTTTTTTTAAAAGGGATGTAGCTCTACGGTCCCCGGATGCCGCGCGCCGTTCCGTCTCTCAAGCGACCCTTTCCCGGAAGTGGCGCCCTCGGAGAAGCGGAAGTGACGCCGGAGGGGAAGTTTCTCCGCGAAGGAGGCGGCGGCGGCGGTGGCGGCTTCAGCCATGTCAGCGGGCGGCGCGGGGCAGCGGGAGCCGGGGGCCTCGGGCGGGTAAGGAGGGCGCCCGGGCTGGGAGGAACCGGGGAGGGAGGCCGGGTAAAGCGCTCGGGCGGACTACAACTCCCATCAGCCCCCGCTCGATCTGGGACCGGGACCTTCTTTTCCCAGCCCTTCAGCTGATCCCCGCCCTAAATTATGCTTCATATCATATCTATATACCTATGAATTTGTGTATATATATATAATATAGTGTAACTGTATGTGTGTGTATATATGTATATGCATATATATATGTACATGTATGCGTGTGAGTATATATACACACACACACATATATACACATACGCATATACGTGTGTGTATGTATATGCGTGTATATATGTGTGTGTGTGTGTGTGTATAATTTTACCCCACCCCCTTTGTGTCATGTGAAACCTCCACTTATTTCCCCCTCCAAGAAATACAGATCCTTTTTAGCAAGAGGGAATTGGGGGGGGGGGTGTTTGGAGATGTTCCAGGAAAGCACTTTGTGTTTGTGTGCAAATTGACACTCACACCCCTTTACAACCGGCTTCATTTCCACTCCTTACCAATGGCAGGCAGAAGTTGCCCCGGCCAGCTGTGGATGACTTCAGCTCTTTCTCCTCAGGGAAAGGAGAAACTTTTTCACCCCCAAAGCAGGCACTGACTTCAGCTCTTTGGTTTTTTTTGTTCTCTTTTGCCTCAAAGTGGCCTCTTTTTGTCCCAAAACTTCTAATCTTGTGGCTTTCTGGAGGTTGGCTGGGCTCCGCTTCCTCTTCCTCATCTTCTTTCTGTCCTTCATCCTGTTGTCCATGAGGGTCTCTGACTTCAGCTCCAGGGCTGCTTGGCCTCCTTTCTGCCTCCAAGTGACTTCAGCCCTTTTCCCCTCAGGAGCTGCCTTGCTTTCTGGGCTCCTGAGATGGGCACAAATTCAGCTCTCCCCCCCTCAGAGTAGCCTCTTTTGCCCCAAATTTCTACTCTTGTGACCTTCTGGAGCTTGGCTGGACTCTTCCTCTTTCCTTGGTCATTTCTTGGGCTTCTTCCTCCTCTTCCAGGCTTCCCTTCTTCATCCTGTCATCCCTCTGAGATTCATTCAGACTTCAGCTCCAGGGCTGCTTAGCCTCCTTTCCCCCAGCTGAGGTGCTGAGTGACTTCAGCCCCTCAAGGAGCTGCCTTCCTTTCTGGGACTTCTACTCCCCTTCTGGGCTCCTGAGGTGGGCAGTGACTTCAGTCCTTTTCCCCTCAGGAGCTGCCTTCCTTCCTGGGACTTTTGCTGCCCTTCTGGGCTCCTGAGGTAGGCAGTGACTTCAGGCCTTTTCCCCTCAGGAGCTGCATCTTCCTTCTGCTTCTCCTCCCAGTCTTCTTCCCTTTCTTCCTTCCCTCACAGTCTCTGTGGGCAAACTGACCCTCTCCCTCAGCAGTGGCCCCTTTTTATACTTGAGGCGCTCTCCCCTGATTGGTGGAGCGCTTCAGGGCCCCCTGCTTTTGATTTGCTCTCCAGCCAGCCGTCTCATTGGTTCTTCCTTGAAAAACCTGCTGGCTGTTTCCAGGGGTCATTTCTAAGTGGGGCAAAAAAATAAAAAGGAGGATTTTTTGAAGATAAAATGGATGGGTGAGAATTATTATTTGTGCCTGGTCCTTCATTTATGGCTGATCTGACCTCTTGAACTCACAATAACCAAAATGAGTTGGACAGCAACCGCAAACTGCAAAAAAGAACCCCTTAAGTGGGTTAATAGTTGTAATTTCATTAATTAATGGGTCTGAATTCAAGAATTGTTTGGGGTTCCAAATTGCACCAGAATAAATAAATAATGAGATCCAGACAGCTGTGAGGAAAGAAGAAATATGTATTCCTAAAAGCAAAACAGATTGTGACTCTGTGTTTGCAGACCTTATCCTTTGATATGTGGATTTGGTCTGGGTAACTTATTCGGGGGGCTTTGAGAAAGAGTCCCCCCCCATTTGCTATTTTTACTTCATTAGTTTAGTTTCAGCTTGACCGTCAATTACCTAGCAGGGACGATGCTTCTCAGACCATGATGGACTCCGTTAATATTTGAAGGGAAGATGGAAACGGGAGGAAGAGTAGAATATCTTTTGATATAACACCCCTCAGGCTGTGACGGTCACGGCGCAGAATTACGGATTCCGATTAGAGAGAGAAGAAATGCAAAGTCTTCCAGAATGTCAAAAAGGGAAAGAGGGAGATTTGAGAAACGGGCCCAGCTGACAGAAGGAATTGAAAAATTATATATGTATAATATATATATATATTTCCTAATTTCCAGGCGCCGCAGCAAATGGGACCAGCCAGGGCCTTCGCCAGCTCTCTTCCTCCTTCCTGCTACCACGCCTGTGGCCGGCCGCCTCGTCCAGGGCGGCGGAGACGGAATGTCCGGCTCGGAAGGCTCGGCAGCTCCTTTGGGAGCGCTGGATGCCGCGGCGGCCGTGGCCGCGAAAATCAACGCCATGTTGATGGCAAAAGGGAAGCTGAAGCCCTCGGCCACTTCTGCAGACAAGGTGAGGTGGGCTTTGCCTCGGCGCGCCTGCCGTCAAATAGTCCTCGGCTTATGACCGCCATTGATCCCAGGTTTCCATTGCTAAGTGAGGACAGTTGCGTTTTCTCCCATTTTACAACCTTGCTCTCCACGTTCATTAATAGTCACACGGTCGTTAAGTGGATCTCCCTCCCCCCGTTGATTTTGATTGTCAGAAGGCCGCAAAATGGGGACCCTGCGGCCGTCATAAGTACGAGCCAGCTGCCCAGGGTCTGAATTTTGATCAGATGACCCTGGGGATGGTCGTAAGGGTGGGGAAAAAAAGCCATAAGTCCCACTGCCCTTTGTAACCTCAAGAGGTAAACCTCTGAGGTAAAATGGGCGGCTATAAATTTTATAAGTAAATACAGTTCAAATGGTCATTAAATGGACGGCTATAACTCAAAGACTGTCTGTGTTTATTCACTCCTGACTTGTCTTTGTTCTTGCTACTGGGTGTAAGTTCTCAGACCCCCAAATATCTCGCCCACACCAGGCCTGTGCTGTCTCTGGTGGGGGGGGGGGAGTTGATTTATTTCCATATTTAATTTTTATCATGGATCTTTTCTCGATCTGGGCCCCCGCCTGACTTGGCATCAGGTGAGATATAAGCGAGACAAGCCACAGGTTGAGTGTATTAAGGAAGATATTTATTATTATTTGTTTAATTTCCATCCTGCCTTTATTATAGAGTAATAAACTCAAGGTAAGGATCACATCTAGTACTCCTTCCTCCTATTTTCCCCATAACAACAACCCTATAAGGTGGGCTGGGCTGAGAGGGAGGGGCTGCCCCAAAGTTACCCAGTCAGTTTTCATGCTGAACATGAACTAGAACTCACTGTCTCCTGGTGATGGGCCCAAAGTCACCAGGCTGGCTTTCGTGCCTAAGGCGGGACTAGAACTCACGGTCTCCTGGTGATGGGCCCAAAGTCACCCAGCCGGCTTTCATGCCTAAGGCAGGACTAGAACTCGCAATCTCTTGGTGATTGGCCCAGCGTCATCCAGCTAGCTTTCGTGCCTAAGGTGGGACTAGAACTCCCCGTCTCCTGGTGATTGGTTTAAAGTCACCAGTCGGTTTTCAGGTCTCTGAGGGAACTAGAACTCACTGTCTTCTGGTGATTGGCCCAAAGTCACCAGGCTGGCTTTCATGCCTAAGGCGGGACTAGAACTCACCGTCTCCTAGTTCCTAACCCAGCACCTTCCCTACTAGACTAAGCTGACTCTGTCTGCTTTCCCTGTTATTTCCTGGTCCTCCTCCCTTCTGCTCTTCGGCAGCTCCAGGCTTCAGGGAAAGGTCCGGCAGGCAACAAAAGCAAAGATGATCTCGTGGTGGCCGAAGTGGAGATCAACGATGTGCCGCTGACCTGCCGGAATCTCCTAACAAGAGGACAGACGCAGGACGAGGTCTGGCGCCCTCTCCAGTGGGGCTTTGCAGTATCTTAATTTCCCATAATAGCCGCTTGGTAGGCTTCAAACAGGTTGATGGGAGTTGAGGTCCACTCTTCTTAAAACTTGCAGGCTGGGGAATTCTGGGAGTTGAAGTCCACCCCTCTTAAAAGATTCTGGCTGGGGAATTCTGGGAGTTGACGTTCACCTATCTTACAGCCTCTTGGCTGGAGAATTCGGGGAGCTGAAATCCATCCCTCTTAAAGCATGCTAGCTAGGGGAATCTGGGAATTGAAGTCCACCCATCTTAGAGCATGCTGGCTGGGGAATTCTGGGAGTCAAAGTCTTCATATTGTCATGGCTGAGAAACCCCGAATTTCTTTGTGTTACTTCTCTTCCTTTTGCTGGAAAAATCTGCCTCTTCCCCAAAAAATTTGGGCCAGGGGGGGGGGTTGTTATGAATGTCTTTGGGGAAAAGACAATTAAACGGATTTTTCGGCTTCAATTGAGCTTTTCTTGCATGGCTGATTGTGATTTTTTTTTTTTCTCTCCCTTCCTCCTCCTCCTCCTCCTCCTCCAATGTCTGCAGATAAGCAAGCTGAGTGGAGCAGCAGTCTCCACTCGTGGGCGCTACATGACTGCGGAAGAGAAAATCAAAATTGGCCCTGGGTGCGTATTGCCGTTGTTTCCATCTCCCTTTCATCTCTTTAAAAAAAACCACCCTCCCCAAACGCATTATTGTGGACTGAAAATATATTTTTTAGCATCGGGGAGGTCAGCATCTCAAGTGTTAAAAATCTTGGTTTTTTAAAAAATGAAGCATGCCTTTTTTTTTTTCTTCTTCCTTTCTCCCCAGTGATCGTCCCCTATACTTGCACGTCCAAGGACAGACAAGAGAACTGGTGGACAGTAAGTCAATCCCATTTAGATCCTCTGGGCAGACATCAGGAAATGGGGGTTTGATCTGGGCTGGCTGGGGAATTCTGGGAGTTTGAAAGTCCGCACGTGCTCAAATTGACACAGTCTAAGAAGCACTGAACTAAGAGCAAGGGAAAAAGGGGACGTTCTATCCCAGGTCTTAAAAGTGAATGACATTAACATGAATTTAAGTGAAACGTAGCATTGAAAATGAGATTTAAAAAAAAAAAAGAACATACATCTGTGTATTTAGTTTTATAACAGAGGTTCCAATAGAAGAGAGGGTTGAAATGAGGGGGTCCTTGGTGCTCTCTGGGCTGGGTGGTTTTCTTGCAGACGTTTCATGACCCAGCTAGGGAACATCATCAGTGTAGATGGAGTGGGGCTTTCGAGGAAGAGGAGGAGGAAGAGGAGGAGGAGGAGAAAGAAAAGATTGTAGGGTCCTTGGTGCTCTCTGAGCTTGGTTATTTTCTTGCAGACGTTTCATGACCCAACTAGGGAACATCATCAGTGCTAGATGTACAATAAAGACCTATATTAATCAATGCTAGGCCTATAATAAACTACTAATAAGGGTAGTCCTTGATATACAACTCTAACATAGCCTGCCCTTAACGGTCATAAATCATGTCAGTCACCCCAGACCTGATTTTTATGACTTTTTTTCCCCAGCGGCCATACAGCGAACCCCACGGTTACAAAACGAACACCGCGCTGGTTAAATTGGAACTTGTGGCTCGCTACGGCTCGATTTCGCTTCTTTGAAGTGACAGCGGCCCTTGAGCAAAACGACTTAGCTCACTTAACGTCCAGGCAACATAGGTTGCAAAGTCAGGCAGAACTCCCCTTAATAACCGCCCTGCTTAACCGCGGGAATGTAAAGGTCTCGGCGCGAAGCTCACCAGTTTTGACGCCCTTTGCAGGAGCTGTCAACCGGATCAAAGAAATCATCACCAACGGAGTGGTCAAAGCGGCCACTGGCTCCAGCCCCACTTTCAACGGGGCCACGGTGACCGTCTACCACCAGCCTGCCCCCATTACCCCCTTGCCCCCGGCCGTTGGGCAGAAGGCGCCATTCCAGTCTGGCGGAGTAAGTATTGTCGGAGAAGGAAAGAGCCCCGTGACATTTACAGTACCAGCTTGGTAGGCATGGCAGATGAAGCTGCTTCGGTTTTACTTCGATTCTGCTTCGGGAGGGTTGATACGACGGGCTGAGCTGGAAGCTTTGAGTGTCTCAGGGCAGATTTGTTTTCCCTGTTTTTGGTGGGTTGGACGTCTCAGTGATCAGAAATCCCCAATTATTCGCTTAGTGACTGAAGTTACGACGGCACTGAAAGAATTGATTAGGACCGTTTGTCACACAACAGTCACGGGATCAAAATTCAGAGGCTTGACAACTGACTTGTATTTATGACGGTCCCGGCATCCCGCAAATCCCCTTTGGCGACTTTCTGACCAACAAAGGCAATGGGGACGCCGTATTCACTTCACAATCCTGTTAACTGACTTAACAACTGCAGCGATTAACTTAACATTAGTGGTGAGAAAGGTCGTAACTTGGGGTGCAACTCCTTTAACAACAGCCTCGCTTAGCGACAGGCTCCCTTGTGGCCGTACGCCAAGGACCGTCTGTCTGTCCTCACTGCTTCTCTCCTTGAATCAGATTAAGCAAGTTTGCTGGGCTTCCCACCTCAGTTTGCAGGGGGATCAATGTGGGCCATTAGAGAGAATTTGGGGGGGGGGCTAGAAGGCTTATCTTTAAGGGGCTAGTCATCAGGGATTTGCCCACCCAGTCCGTATGCTGTGTCTGGCTGGGGAATTCTGGGAGTTGAAGTCCAGGAGTCTTAAAAGTGCCCGGGTTTGGGGACCCCTTGTGCTAGAGGATTAAGAAGGCCTGGTCTGTTGAGCAGGGCTAGGCCGATACCATCCTCTTATAGAAATGCAATGGGGAGAGGGGTCCAGCTTCCAGACAGCAGAGACCTCCCTGTGCCATCCAACAACGCCCACGGCCTTTCCTTCCAGAAACACCAACTGTCAAGCCCCGGAGGAGAACATCTGGGGGGTTGGCAAGGCCAAAATCCTGTGTGTTTTTGATTTCTTTCAAAACGAGATTGAAAGAAATATATATATATATATATATATATATATATATATATATATATATATATATATATATATATGTGATTTTCTTATATTAGGAGGGAAGGGCCATCTCATTCCTGCTTGGTTTCCTAACTAAGCAGGGGGCTGGACTAGAAGACCTCCAAGGTCCCTTCCAGCTCTTGTTATTCAGCGTGCCTGGCTGAGGAATTCAGGCAGTTGAAGTCCACAAGTCCTAAAAGGGCCAAGTTGGAAGAGCCTTACGCTAAACGAATGGTCGTAACTTGAGGCTCCCCCGCCGATAAAATGAAAATGAAAAGGCACGCTCCTCCGGGGTGACTTTTGGATCTTTGTGTGTTGTGCAGATGCATTACGTCCAGGACAAGCTGTTTGTGGGCTTGGAACACGCCATCCCCACCTTCAGCGTGAAGGAAAAGGTGGAAGGGCCTGGCTGCTCCTATTTGCAGCACATCCAGATAGAAACGGGGGCCAAGGTGTTCCTTCGAGGAAAGGGCTCCGGCTGCATCGAACCTGCCTCTGGGCGCGAAGCATTCGAACCCATGTACATTTACATTAGGTAAGGGGAGCGGATTCCTTTATTGGATCCGGCGTTTGGTGACCTGTTTTCTTATTTTCATTTTCTGTACGTGCTCTTTTTTTTTTTCCCATTTTCAGGTTTTCATAAAGCTGTGTAAAAATGCACATTGGTTTAATCTACTGTTCTCCATCCTTTTTCCTCACTAGAATCATTTTCACTTGGGCTTTGTTATTTTGAATTCACTTTTTAATGAATTTCCATCCATGTTAAGCTTCTTTTTTCCCCATTAGTTCGTTTTTCTAATAAGTAGGATAGTAGGATAAATTAGAGAGAGAGATAGGATAGATGAATAGATAGATTAGATGGATGGATGGATAGATAAGAGATAAATAGGATAGATGGATAGATAAGAGATAAATAGGATAGATGGATAGATAAAAGATAGGTAGGTAGGTAGGTAGATGATAGATAGATAGATAGATAGATAGATAGATAGATAGATAGATAGATAGATAGATAGATAGATAGATAGATGATGGATGAGAAGATAGGATAGGATAGGATAGGATAAATTAGAGAGATAGGATAGATGGATAGATAGATGGATAGATAGATGGATGGATAGATGATAGAGAAATAGGATAGATGGATAGATAAAAGATAGATAAAAGGTGGGTGGGTAGATAGATAGATAGATAGATAGACAGACAGACAGACAGACAGACAGATCTTCCACAGTGCTACTGTACCTGCCAAGGGTCTTCTGCCTTAAGTTGCTGAAATCCTAAAATTCTTAAAATCCCAAAATTTAAGGCGCTTGCCATTTTATCCTTTTCGCTGAACGTTCCCATATGTCTTTTACAGCCATCCCAAGCCAGAAGGCCTGGCGGCAGCCAAAAAGCTTTGCGAGAACTTACTACAGACTGTAAGTTACTTAACCAGCGCGCGGCTACCTTCACCCCTGTACGTTATTCCCTTAACAACTTGTGGCAAAGAAAGGCCGCAAAATGGGGGGCCAGGCTTCCTTTTCACCAATGTCTGCCTTAGCAAGTAGAAATTCTGGGCTCACTTTTGGGCCGGTAACCAACGACGGTCGCTAAACGAGGACCGCCTGCACGAGGCAAGCTTCAGGGTAGATGGGGAAGCGGCCTAATCTCTTGGCTAAGGAACGGACCATTGCCACTAAACGGGGGGAACGTTTGAGAAAGCCTCCGATGATCAAAAGTGGGCGCGTTTATCGGCTCCTAATTCACGAATCTGCCCTTCCTTTCCAGGTCCACGCCGAATACTCGCGGTTTGTAAACCAGATGGCCACCACGATGCCCTTAACAGGTTTGTCTTGTCCAGCTGCTCAACTATTTCAGGTTTCTGACCGGGGTTGGGGGGAATGTTGCCACTGGTGGGATTCCACTGGTGGCAGAACCGGTAGCTCATTTCTGGTTGCCCTAACGGACTTCCGGAAGCAGCATCCACACAGAGAACCGGTTATTCATCTATCTCAGTGGTTCTCAACCTGTGGGTCGGGACCCCATTTGGGGTCGAACGACCATTTCACGGGGGTCGCCAAACAACGGAGTCCGCCATTTTTTTTCCCCTTTTCCTTAGCTGTGCTACTCCCTTTTATTCTATTGGCTTTTGAAAGCCAATAGAATAGACTCTCTTGAATAGAGTCTAATTCTATTGGCTTTCAAAAGCTAATAGGAATTGTCCAGGCTGTCTCTGCCCTGCCGCCCGCCAAAAGTCCCAGTCTGCAAACGGTGCTGCACCAGTTGAGTAGTCCTCAACTTACGACTGGTTGGGGGTCATGGCATTAAAAAGGTTGAGAACCACTGATCTATTTGAATCCCACCACTGGATGTTTCCCTCTGGAGGGTCTCCAGACCTACTTTTTTTTCCCCCTTCCCCTTTTCCATCCCATTCCATCCAACGGGGCTGATCCAACTTTTCCTTCCCTGCTCTTCTCTTGGTTCCGATCAGGATTCACGCAACCGGCAACTCTCGCAACCGTCCCCCCCCAGCCACCATATTACCCGCCCAACGGCTTCCAGGCCAGCTACCCCATGGCTCCGCCCCCTCAGCAACCCGGCCAGCCTCCTTACGTGATGCCGGGCATCGGACCGCCAGCGGTCCCCATGGCACCCGGCGTACTGGCCCTGCCCACCGGCGTCCCACCGGTGCCCACCCAGTACCCAATTACGCAAGTCCAGCCCGCTGCAACCACAAGCCAGGTAAGAACAGGCAGCGCTTTCTGTGAAAATAATATTGGAATAATAACAAGAACCACAAGAACAACTTCCAGGTCCTTGGAAAGACTAAATCTAGGTGGATTAAAATGCCACCGGCCGATAGGTAGACTTAAAAGGCCAAATTTTGGTTAGACTAAAATGCCAAATTTGGGGTAGACTAAAACATCAAGTCCAGTCTGAACATCTGGCTGATTGTACAATGAGACAATAACAACAACAACAACAACACACCTGAGAGCATTATTGTGGAAAAGGAAAAAAAAAAATCTGGTTCATTAATTATTGCAAATACCAGGTGATGCACAAATGGGAGAGGAACAGCCAGGAAAAAAATAAATTGAGTCCTTGCTTAGGACGTGAACTGTTTTTACCAGTCCTAGACTGTGAATCCAATTGAAGATTAACAACAAAATAACAGTAACAATAACAATAATGATAATAATAATTGAATATCCTGTCTTTGCAAAAAAACACCTTACTTGGAACTATTTATACACTCAGACGTTACCTTAACAGCTCTGAACTGTTACGTTTTTACGAATCGAATTGAAGAGTAAATAATAATAATTACTACATTTATTTGCCCCTTATCTCGCCATAAGCCAAACCAAAGCAGTCGAAGAAAAGTAGAACAACAGAAGAATAAAACAGGACCTTCTTTCTTGTGCCATTTGAACGATGGCTTGAATGTTAGGCGTCCATTTCGGTTTCATTTTTCGCCGATGTGTGTGTGTGTCTCTTTCCAGACCCCGCTTAGCTCTCCTTTCTTGCCTGCTGCTCCTGGAAAGACCCCCCTGCCGACGCAGCCCCCCGGACAGCCCCTGCCTCAGCCGGGTCAAAAAAGGCGATTTACCGAGGAACTCCCGGACGAACACGAATCCGGATTGTTGGGATACCAGGTGCAGTAAGCCACAGTCGTTCTTTTACCTGCCTCTCCCTGTCCCTGTTTCACCTTCGAAATCAAAACTAGGTTTAGATCCCAGCTAGCCTCCGAAACTGTCGTTCAAAGCTGGTCTGGGCTGGCTGTCTCTGCAGCAGCCAGTTCCGCGGAAGAAGTGATGGTCAGATGACTAGCATTAAGCCAGCGGTCACCACAGGCCTTTTCAAGGCCGATGTGATGGTTTTGGGGAGACCCTGGATCCACAAGTAGTCCTTGACTTACAACCGTTTGCTTAGTGACCGTTTCAAAGTTACAACGGCACTGAAAAAAGGGACTTTCGACTCTTTTTCACACATCCCCACGGTCACGTCATTCAACTTCAGACGCTTGGCAACCCGACTCGTATTTACGACGGTTGCGGTGTCTCCCGGGGTGATGTGATCCCCTTTTGCGACCTTTTGACGGACCACGCCAATGGGGAAGCCAGTCTCGCTTAACAATGGTGTGACTAACTTAACAACGGCAGTGATTCACTGAACGACTTAACCACTGCGGCAGAATTCACTGAAGCATCTCACTTAGCAATGGAAAGTTTGCTCGTCGTGGTCGTAAGTCGAGGACCACATGTATTTGGGGTGGCCGCTGTCCCGGGACGGCCGGAGTAGTGAAGGTGGTTGGCCAAAATAATAATAATTTAAGGCTTGAAAAATTTAAGATTTGCAAGCTATGGTTCCCTGTGAAGTCGAGCGCCCAAGTTTATGAGCTCAAACTTAGAGCTTCAAATCAGATTTTAGATAGGGGGCAATTTGAAATAGGAGGGCAAAAAAAAGCAGAATTTGGAGGGGGACTTTCCACAGAAGCATTTTGAGGCCGATTTAAAATCAGCAGGCGAGATTTAGAGGTGAGGAATCTGGAGATTTCTGTAGCTGCTTTCTAATCGTTTAGATCAAGTCACGATAAAACAGGAAGAGAGCCTCTTTGCCTATCAGCTTAAAGAAAGTAATTCGTAACAACTTGAATTTCTTATCTGGAGCAAAAAAATGACGGGAAAAAAACCCCCCTCTTTGTGTGTTGATAAAAGGAACAGCCACACCAAAGTTGCGTTATCGAGTCATCCGAAGTTGTGTAGTCTTCATTTAGAGAAAAAAAATCAAGCTTGCTTTCGGAGTTTCTCTTTCTAAAACACGAGGAAAAAAAAGTGACGTTTTTCCTAACCTTTTTGGAAAAGGCGACAATGA